AGTTTATGATTATTATTTTATAGAAAAATTTTATAGATCACAGTATATTATGCGCTAAACATTTGGCAAATTGTTTTCTTACACACATATTTTTATTTATAATATGTAAAAAATAAATATATTTTTTTTGACAAATTCAACAGATTTGTAACCGGATTACAATATATATAGTGTATGTCATTCACAACATTCAGTCAAATTTGGAAAACTGATGATTGAAATGCATATCAGATATTAAGTTAAAGAATTTCTTCGTCTTATCAAACATACTGTCAGTTCTGTATAAAACTGTTGTTACAAATGATCGGGAGTTTTCTCAGTAAAGGATTACATTAACAATTGATTTCACATATTTTCATTTTAATAATATTATACTTTTGAAATACACAAGAGATCCACTGCTGGGCCTGTGTTTGCCGTCAAATTGATTTTCACTGTTTGTGACTTCATGTAACTCACATGTAATGGCAACGAATCAATGTGTTTATTACCTTATAATAAAGTGTAATGCATTTGTGTTGATCCCTTTTCAAGCCATACCATCTTTTAACGAACATTATGTTTGCAAAATAAGAGCACAAAATAGATTGTATTCACTTCTTCTTGTCGTCCGTTTTGCGATCGGAATGAGTACTAATTGAAGGATTTCTGCTCTGTTCAGAGGATATGGGAAGTGAATTGTTGGTAATGATTGGCCAATGGGTTGTATCAGGTGTTGCGCTTGGAGTCCGCGACATTAGATGTGGTGTTAGGGGCAGATCGAAGTTCACGTGCAATCGATCCATATTCCTCTGCAGTGATCTGCTTGTGGTCGATATCTCATCCATCATCGCATCCCTATCCCCCTCATACATATTACGAGGCATACAACACAACACCCGTCTGAACGCTGTTTTAAACTCTTTGTTCAGATATGCATAAATCGCTGGATTGAGAGCACTATAAATGATATATTAATTCAATGCAGTTATGTTTTTGTCATAAATATTTTTATCTTAAAAGAAAACTAATAAGACTTTAAGCGAATGAGAAATTAATGGGTTGTAAGGAATGCTTTGTTATAATGGGATATAACGGTTATAATGCATACCTATTTATATACCCCAACCAAGTAATGCCAGTCCGGATCTCATAACTGACTTCACAATATACACAATACGCTGATATTACATACATTATGAAGAATGGCAGCCTATAGTGTCATAAAAACAACAATCATTTTAATTTATTATCAATTATGTCTTTTTATATTGTGTAAAGAAAAATGTATAATAAAAATATGAGAATATAATAAATAATACAAAAGATACTTTAAATTTATGATAATATATTCTGAAATCTAACAGATAAATACATTTTTAATTATCAAATGTTTAGTTAATTAGTAAATTCTGTACAATAAAGCATTTAATTTACAACATATACAGTACCTGCATGTACTATATACAGTATATTAAAGTTATTGCAATATCAAATATAAAACTTATTTTTAAATCATATTTCACTTTCAATAATATTCTTTATTCAAATAATAGGAATTTTTCTTAAAATAATAGTAATGTCGTTAGAGATATAATAATAGTGATCAGTCATCTAACAAATTGAGATTTATTCCTAACTTTCTTATTTTGAGATGTATTTCATGACTTCGCCGACAATTTTAACGATTTCCACCCAATTCTTCACTCTATATAAATGCCATGATTTTTTGCTAACGTTTGGTCACACAATATCATTGTATTGTTTTTCATTACTACATAACATACACTTTTTGTACTAATTTTAAGATACAAAGAAAGAAAGAAAGAAAGAAAGAGAGAGAGAGAGAGAGAGAGAATACTGGCCAGCAAAGACAAAAGACTCCCATCACAATTCCAAGCGTACGAATGGCTTTTGTATCAGTGATTAATTGTTTGGTTCTTCTCCGAAGACTTCGCTCGACATGTCTTTTAGCATCAAATGTGTCGCTATTGGCAGACGTGGCGTCAGATTCCGATAGTAACCCGTTTTGGTTTAACGAAATCTCCAATTGTTTTATTTCTCGCGACTGTCTCTCAGCGACCAATAATATACGGAAATACACGTAAAACATGATCGGAAGGGGCAGATAGAAGGACGTCAACGATGATATCGTTGCATACACTTTGTTCACCTGATGTTCAATCATATATTACATCAATGAATACAATTAGCATTACGTGTATAATAAAATTTTCACAATTATAACGCCGTGTAATGGCTATCGTTAACGCCAATCGTCACGTCATTAATAATGATGGCATAAAACGTGCGGACAATTACCTTAAGTGAACAGTCGGTGACGTCTTCGATGAGGAAGATGTTAGTGACGCCATCGCTGTGATACCAACCCGTGAAGATCGGGATGAATGATATGGCGGCCGAACAGAACCATATGATTGAAATACAACAAAATAATCTCCTTTTACTAATATAAGTGCGATATCTTAGGGGACGAGTTATGGCCCAAAATCTATGAAACGATTTTTCAACACAAATAAAAAAGATTATAAAATACAATACAATCCAATATAAGTGAAATTGATTTTCACAGAATCTATAACTAATGACATGTTATTTACAATTTGAAGCGAAAGAATATATTTTCGCTTTCAATCTTCTAAATAGAAAATTGTATTTTCAATATTTGATGGAAAATACATTCAATGTATTTATAGAGAAATAATTTTTGCATAAAATTATCGCTAATTTATTCATATTTTGAGAATTGGTATTAAAAAAGTATTGCACGCCTTTAGGCAACACTTAGATTTCATTTAATGAAAATATATTTTCATAGAGTGTCGCAAATGTCGCCAATTAAATCAACATCTCATCAAATCTTTTATATATTAAACACTTAATTACAATCATTAGGAGACGTGATAATGATTTATAGTGCAGTGTATTAATAAATGTTGGCAAATATGTTATTAATAATTTGGTACAGATTTGATCTAATCCTCTGTTTTTAAGGCTTAAAAATATCTGAGAAAAAGTAATATTCAGAGATTTAATTTCAAACACAAAACAACATTTTATTTGCTTTTGGGATTTAAACTGAAGATAAGTTTAGAGTTTTATTTAATTCAATAGATATTTATAATTTAATTCTTAATACATTTGTTGTGTAAAAAACTTAAAAACGATGCCTTTTATCAAATATTAAGAAGTCGTTTGTATGACATTTTTTGGTATTAATATTTGAGTTTTAATTAAAGTTTTGAAATATTTAGTCGGATATTAGAAATATTTTTTAACTCAAATCTTATATTATTTTTAAGCAATTGTCAATTCTATAATAATATAAAGTGATTGCAAAGAATTTGTACAGTATAGTATACAGAATACAGTATAGGTCAATTCAAGAATATTCTGTACTATCCTTGATGTTAATTTTTAATTAATAATTTTTGATAAGTTTAAAAACAAAATAATTAAATAATTATACTAAATTTACATAAATTTAATTTTAGTTAGTAACTGATAAACATATTAAAAGTTACAATTAAATGTAACCAATTTTAATCAATATTATTTAATAATATATGATTTCGATGTTAACGAGATAACATGAAATGAAATATGTAATTATTATTATGTTTAAAACATTTTAAATTCATTCATTTATAGCTTTTTAATATAAAAATGAAATTTAATGAAATATTTTTCATAGGAAATAGAGTTCCGATTGAATTGGTATTAATTTTTAAAGATAAATTATTTATAACCTGAATAAGTAATAGTAAGTTTATAATGGAAATCGTGTTTTAATTAATTTGTCACTTTATAATAAAAATCGAAATCTATTTTCTATTAAAGTAATTAAATTTTTGATTAGAAATTTTTGTTTGAAATGTAAATCTTATGATATATTTATGGATGAAGTACATTATTATCTGTTAAATATAAAAAATCTTATATATTTATATTAAAACTAAATGGTAGTTATAATAGACAATAAATGTTTAACAAGAACTATTTGTATTTTATGAGCAGGTTAATTTTAAATGGTTTTCAAAATGATTAAAAATTAATAAATAATTAATTATTATTGAAGAAAAATGTTGTGTAGCCATTAATCTGTTAAAGATCATTTAATTAGTTTATTTAATTAAACTCAAGGAAACTAGATTAATTAATTGATTAGAAATTAACTACTCAACTCTATTTGTCAATTAATGGTATAAATATACCATTTATCAAGTGATGAAACAGTAATTTGTGATAAAATTAAATATTTTGGAAATTATTAATAAAATTTACTAATTAAAAAAATTATAAATTGTAAAACACATGTAAATCTTAATCCACATCTCAATCATTTATTTATCCAAACATATGTTTGAATTAAAATCTAATTTAAAAATAAATTGTCAAATAATTCTTTAAAAATCTTATATCACTCTCTAATAAGTGTTACACAAAATATCTAATCTTCCGATAAGCCGAAAGACCTTTTTAATATTCAATGTTCAAAATTTATTTATAATAATAATTTTAATCACAAATTGAAATGCATTCCGGGTATTCATAATGAGTTTCAATACAAACTCAATTGAGAAATATTGTGTAAAACGGCATAAATATTCATAACATATAAACTTCAAACAGAATTAGTGTTTTTGAAA